CAGACGCACACACACTCACACCAGGGGCCAGTTGGCCCAGAACCCAGTCAAGTTACCAGTTTGCCTTAGGACTGTGGGAGGAAATCGGAGCACCCGGAGGAAACCCACAGGAACACAGGGAGAACATAGAAACTCCACTCAGATGGCGTCCCAAGTCCAGGATTGTACTCAGGGCCCCAGTTTCGTGAGGCAGCAAAGCTAACCATTGGCCACCATGAGTGTATGTTTCTCTGTACTATACTATACTTTATAGTACAGGGCTCTCTGTATTATAAAGCCCCCATGGACCATGTGCACATTTTTTTTCCCCTGCTCAGGTTCCCTCAGGACGGGGCCCCAAAGCGCAGAACGGCCTGCTGAGCCCCCCCGCGGACGACAAGATGACCAACAGCCAGACGTCTCTGTGCGAGATGCTGCAGGAGAAGGAGAAGAAGTGGGGGGGGGTCAGCATGGACCACTCGGCCCTCATTCCGCTGCGCTCCAAGAACTTCCGCGAGCGGAGCGACGCCCACTTTGTGGACGTCATTAAGGAGGACAGGTGGGGGAGCTGCGGAACGCCATAGCACAGCTCCTGGGCTCAGATCCAGAAACACCCCTGGTGGGCATTTTCTGTACTGCAGCAGAGCTCAGGTCTGAGTGGATCCTTGTGTTCAGGATTTTTAATTGGTTAGAATAATATTTCTGTATTAGAGAAGGTGCAGCAGTCAGAAGCTGTGGACTGGATCCACAAGCAGGCAAAAGGTAAGCAGTCAGCCAGGGGATGAGCAAACAGCAGCAGGTGAGCAGGTAAGCAAGGCAGTCTGGAGCTGTCATCCCAGATCCGAGCCGTAATCCGAAATCCGAGGTCGGAACCGGGGGACGCAAGTAAAAGTACCAGGGCACAGTCCGTAGACAGAATTGAGGTAGTCCAACGAAGTTCAAAGCCAAGGAAACTCGGCAGAGCAGTACAAGAGACATCCAGAACATGGGTTGACTGAACGCAGTGGAAGCACAGTGATGAGAATGCCAAAACAAGCAACGAATCACTGTGACTGATCTTCCTAGCATTGCAAGGGCAGGTCTGTAAAGGTCTGTAGCCCTGATCTGAGTGCGAACGGGTGGGACTGGTGTTCCACCGAATCGGGTTGTAGTTGTCTGATTGGCAGGACCACCTGTCGCATTGGTGATCCTAATGGGATTCTGAGCCTTTGGATGACGGCGGCCATGACCGTTAGTGGTCACCACTCAAGGAGTTTTCAAAGTTTTAAATGTTTTTAGGATTGTACAGTTCACTGTATTTGAAGGTTTGCATCCAACTGCTATTTCTTTCCAACTCAGATCCTGGCCAACTAACCCCAGCTGTGCTTCTGGAAATAGTCGGCTGATTCTGTGCTTAAATTTGAGGAATCAAAGTTACAGTCTGCTGACATGACAAGACATCTGGACCATAGACCTTAACCTTGGTGTGGAGTGATCACCTTTCTTTTATTGATAGAGAAGCTCGGGAGCCACTTTCAGAGGCGACGTTTATGGACTTGAGAGAACTCAGCCAGTACATGAATTGTTTGATTAGAAATAAACAATGGTCAACGATATGATGTTAGATGAACCGTGTAAGATTGAGTGTAATGCAAGTCTAGTTCCAGACAATAGGTAGCACAACGTCATCCCTGTGTATTCGAGCAAGAGCAGTGCCTGCGTCAAGAACATTACATAGATGGCTAGTTGCTTGTAATTAATGTGGACAATTCAACACAGCAGTTTACAAGCCATTACTTTTTTTGTACGTTTTGAGTTAAAGCACCAAAATATATTTTAGATTTATTACAGCTGGTCGGTACAGAGATAGAGTAAGTGGTTTCCTAGCAGCACTGAGGTCCATGTTGCAAAAGAAGGCAAACGCAAGACAAAGCTTGCAGATGTGTCCTGACTGCGAGAAGGTCTGGGCTCCATGGAGGATCCAAGGGCAGAGCCGGCCTCAGTCTGACTCACTCTCTCCCTCTCTCCCCCTGCAGTTTGATGAAAGATTACTTCTTCAAACCTCCCATCAATAAGTTGAGCCTGAACTTCCTGGAGAAGCCGCTGGAATCAGCCTACAGAGCCAGCTACCAGGAGGAGGTGCGTCTGACAGCAACTTTCTATCCCTGTCCTAGCGTCGGTCTCTGTTTCCTGTGCCACAGTCGGTCTGCGGTGTGTGTACTGTCACTTTGCCATAATGCGTATAAACTGTGCTGCAGCCAGAATTTTCAGCATTTTGCATCGTAAGTGATGTTTTGCACCTAGCTCTGAAAGTGAGTGTTCCCACAAAGCAAAGCATATCACCCAGAATGGACCCGAGATAACTCTTGTCTCAGGAGATTACCTTAATGTTGCCGCCTTTTTAGTTAAATTATTTCTTTACTAATTTTTGCCAATAGCCCAACATGGGGTTGCCAGTTCTGTTCATGCATCTTGGCTGGTGGCTATGAACCCTGTGACCGCACAAGGGAAATGAGGAAGAGTGGGGAAACGAGTCCATTAACACGTCAAAGACAACACAGCCCAGCTTTGACATCAGAAATGAATAGATATTGATATAGATATGTGCACTGATGTTAAGATGCTTGATTTTGCTGGATGTACTCATGATGTCTTAGTCAGATTTACTATTTATAGATGTTAGTCACACATAATAAATATGGACATGAATAGTTGATGGGGGATCGTGGGTCAGCCGTAAGAGGCTAAATGACAGTCCTTTAAAATCACCGTTGGTTCTGTTATTTTAAATTATTAATACATTATGGTGCAGAGAAGAATAATAGTCAACCTTTTTGTAAAACATCTGGTTTTAGAAGAAATCTAAAATCCTGGCCACGCCACGGATAGGAACCCAGGTAGACAAACTCACCCTGACCTCCGCGATGCTCCTCCAGCTGTGTGCTGCTGGCGACATCTGACTCGAACCCCTGACGCCTGGATCACGCAGCTCAGCTGCACTGCAGCGGCCACTCAGAAAGCCCCTGTTAACCACTGTTTGAGGAAATTGTGCAGGGCAGGACTCAGCTTTTACTTCAGAGAACCTTTCAAAACACCTGTCAGAGACTCCATTAATTAGCTTTACTGACTTGGCCAAGTTCGACCACTTAAGGTCGAATCATTTCTGTTACGGGTTTGTTGGGAGACTGAAGAAGTGATGTGAGCTCTGGAGAAATTACCCGGGAAATTATTCTGTTCTTCCTGACCTCTAAAAGCAATGTCAATAGATCAGTTTTTGGTGCATGAGACTCGGGAACACAGAAAGGTTCAATGTACAGGATCTTAATAGACCTGCTTTATTGACTGCTTTATTTCTTGGATGCTTACACACTTGAAATCGTTCTTTCGTCCTCCTGGCAGGATGCCTTGTTACGTCTCACTGCAACAGACACGACCGTACAGATCCGACATGGTTATTGCATGCGTGGCTTCTGTCCTGTGAGTTTCTAATGAACGAGCTGCTTATTTTGTATCCACGTAAGATGGCGGTACGGATAGCTGTGAATACAAGCAGGGCTTGCAAAGGATGCAGTTTTCTTTAAAATGACACAACATCTTGGAGACTTGGAGACTGAGTCACTCTGGGTTGTTTGTGAACGAGCAGATTGAACGTCAGTGCAGTTCTGTGGCTCTGATTTAAGCCCTTGGTGTTGCTGGTGTCCCTCAGTGCTGTGCAGCATATTAACTGCTAGGCTAATAACGGTGAATACAGTCACCAATGCGGCAAAGCTCTCTGTTGGGACTGCAAGTCCTTTAGTGCCCTCTGGTGGTAATTGGGAAGTAATACATCTGCAGTTGGTTGTGTCTTGGCAGTGTCGACTGAGCCTGTAAGTCTCTGTCTTTCTCGTTCCCCGTCTCCCTGGTTTGCGCTCAGGTTCAGACCAAGGCCCCGGTGCAGACCTTCGCCAGTCCCACCTTCAGCTCCTTCCTGGACGTGCTGCTGTCCTCGGCGGTGTTCGCCGCCCTCGCCGTGGCCTGCTTCCTGCGGCCCTGGGTCACCGGCAGCCCCCCGCCCGCCGCCGCCATTGCAGTCTGCGTGCTGGCCGTCCTGCTGGAGGGCATCTCCCTGGTCCTGTCTGTGCGGTACGGGCTCCCGGCGCAGCTGTGGTGGGGGAGAGGGTGCCAGGGGGACGCTGTGGGGGAGTACCTGTAGATCCTCACAGCAGGAGGATCATACAAATCACAGATGAGAAGGAGCCGTTTCAGCCTCCTGATCCCAGGGCAACTGCTACTGCACGACCTCTGGTCATCACTTTTAGCAGCATGACAGGTAGTTTGTTCCGAGCGGTCTGGCATCGCGTTCAGAGAGCGTCGGAGAATGTGGAGTGCGTGCAGTCATATTCGTGAGGATGCCAGTGACTGCGTGTGAGGTTTATGGTGCGTACGTGCCTGTACTTTTGTATGTGAAGTATTATCATGTTGCACTGACAAATATACATGTGTGTGGTCCGCCCATCTTTTATCTTTATCAGTTGTCTGAACGAGTGTTGTAACATTAACAGCAGCCAGTATACACTTGGCAGGTCCTTCCTTGGCTCTATTCGAGTCAGGTGTTTAAAGGCTGATGCATCTGAAAAGGTCAAAAATAACTACTTAATAACAGGATGCTCTCCTGGAATCAGGCGATGATCATAAATTGCGGCATTCAGCACGAGGTTGAGTATGTGCCTGGAGTATAAAACAAACGTGGGAACTTTTAATGCATTTTTTTTCCAATTGAAATGTTCAAGCATCACGGTTATGGAAACAGCCTTATTCTGACTACAGGACAAGGGGGTGTCGATAAGATCCATGGCTGATCTGTGGGGAGTGAAGCTCCAAGGCAGCCACCTACCCTGATCCCCCTTCACCCCGTGACAAGCAGCACACTGGTATCCCATTGGTATCTGGAAGTGACTGGCTCCTTTTCACTCAATTAGAGACCGATTGTTGATTTGAGCTATCAAACTGCTGTAGGTTAAGTAATGCAGGTGGTGTTCAGGAAACTGTTCTGTATGTCCGATTTTACTCTCGGGCCACGAGCCTGTTGGCTGTTTTGTACTGTGATGGCAGTAGGTTCCTTTCCTATTCTGCACTCTGCGTAGTTCACATGGACACGTTTTGTGATACGAATACACTGTATCCTGCAATCGAGTGAAAAAAGTCATCTGGGGATTCAATAGTCTCTGTAGAAATCAATGTAAAACCACATGGATTCGAGGAATGGCTCCAGACCCGCCTGGTGGCTGTCTCGGCTCTGACCCCGGACCTGCGTTGCTTTGATCCCCTTAGAATGGCCTTTTACCTGGACAACGTCATGAGCTGCACCCGACAGCTGCTGCAGGTCATCTCGGGCTGGATCCCCCGGCACCTCATAGGGGCCGTTCTCATCTCCCTGCCCGCCCTGTCCGTCTTCACCCACATCACCTGCCAGTTCCACCTGTCCCTCCAGGTGAGCGAGAGAACCCCGCAGTCGGCCCCTGTCGGATAACTGCTCTTCACTGTGGATATTTTAAGTCAAAAAGTTGCAATATAATATGAGTCTTATGGCACAGATGCTTAAAGAATTTCCTTGTGTTGTCTAAGGAGAGTGTAGGAAACGACTGATTTCCCATGGCCAGCTAAATTCAGGCGCATAGGAAAAGTTACAGATAAGCGTGTCGGCACTTGTGCTTGTATATGAGGTGAAATCGGCAGGTTTCCCTAAGCCTTGCAGTCGCCTGCTCCCCGGTCTCCAGCCCCGATCCTCACCCTGCCGCCTGGTCGGCTTTTTCCGTTGCAGTTCACCATGTTCATCTGCTGCGCGGTCATCATCACCATCATCCAGTACTGCAACTTCTGCCAGCTCAGCTTCTGGATGAGGTCCTCCTTCGCCACCGCCGTGGGGGCCGTGCTGCTCGCCGTGCTCTACACGCCCCTCTGCGCTCGGGGGTGAGTCGCGGCCCCGCTCCGAGCTCGTCCTCCCGTCGCGCGCTGCAAGGGGTTATTCAGTCTCAGTGACACGATGAAGTTGCTGATGGGGTAGGAAAACCAGGCAAATTCCAGGTTGCGAGCAAGATTGTGATTCTTTCTAACCCTGAAATATGAGAATAGCATAGCGGTTCCGCTTTAAAGTTAGCATCCAGCCTTTGCAAGTCAGGTACGCATCTTTAACCACATCACATTCTAATCATTTTGATTGTATACTCTTTTAGTGTGTGTGACGTCATCCACCTGTGCTACTTTACTGGTATACCTTGTGTGTTTGTTAAAACAGCTCAGATGTGGTTCGGGTATACTTTGGGTAAGTGTAGACCCAGCCTAAACGCAGACATTGAAGGGTAGAGGCTTATCTGTTCTCTCTCCATGAAGTAATAGCGTCTACAACTGGATGTCTTTCCTGCATGCATGTGCGGTCCTCAGTTCTTTTGTAAGTCTTCTCTTTCAGCTCTACATGTGTGTCAGAAACTGCTAATTCGTTTGGGAATTGCTCTCCTGGTAGCAGAGATGGGGTTGGAGGGGATCCAGATTTGATTCTGAGAGTTAACAGAATTTCTAAAGCTTCATTTGCTCGGCTCTGATTGAATACGGTGTCTTACAAAAGTATCAGTGTCCTTCCAATGACCATTGGTTATTCTTTGCAGTTTTTCTTGACTTCTTTCACCTGTAAAAGTATTTAGTTTCACGTTTTGATTTAAACGTTTTCACTATACCAAAGTGTAAATATTTATGCTTTACCAAAATGGGACAATACTGCAGTTCTGATAGGCACCTTACCTCACTATGTGTCAAATACAAGGCTGGCAACATCTCACTCGGCATTTGCAAGAGAAATTAGTGATCAATCATTTGTGATCACCTCAATCTGGAGGTTTTGCATTGTGTGCCTATGAAGGCCGTGTTGAGGCTGGGTTAGCTCGCGATTCCCGGTCAGTCCTGGTGGTTGTGACAAGGAGACCGTGTGCAGGCGTGGGACGTTCACTGTCCTTCCTCCCTCTCGTCCTCCAGGGGTAGCCCTTCCGACAGTTTGTCCGCGCCAGCTGTTGCGCTCCAAGACGTTAGCCTGGCCTTCTTCCTGCTGCTGCTGCTGGTGTGGTTTCTCAACCGGGAGTTCGAAGTGAGTTACCGGCTGCATTACCACGGTAACGTGGAGGCCGACCAGCACCGCATCAAGATCCAGAACATGCGGGATCAGGCCGACTGGCTCCTGCGCAACATCATCCCCATCCACGTGGCCGAGCAGCTGAAGGTCACGCAGAGCTACTCCAAGAACCACGACAACGTGGGCGTCATCTTCGCCAGCATCGTCAACTTCAGCGAGTTCTACGAGGAGAACTACGAGGGCGGCAAGGAGTGCTACCGCGTGCTCAACGAGCTGATCGGCGACTTCGACGAGCTGCTGCGCAAGCCGGCGTTCGGCAACATCGAGAAGATCAAGACCATCGGCGCCACGTACATGGCGGCCTCCGGCCTCAACACCTCGCAGTGCCAGGACAGCGCCCACCCGCACGGCCACCTGCGCACCCTCTTCGACTTCGCCATGGAGATGATGCGCGTGGTCGACGACTTCAACAAGGACATGCTGTGGTTCAACTTCAAGCTGCGCATCGGTTTCAATCACGGCCCCTTGACCGCTGGGGTCATTGGCACCACCAAGCTGCTGTACGACATCTGGGGCGACACGGTCAACATCGCCAGCCGCATGGACACCACGGGCGTGGAGTGCCGCGTGCAGGTGAGCGAGGAGAGCTACCGCGTGCTCAAGGAGATGGGCTACGAGTTTGACTACCGCGGCACCGTCAACGTCAAGGGCAAGGGGCAGATGAAGACTTTTCTCTTCCCGAAGAGCGTGGACAGCGGGATGGTCCCCCAGCACCAGCTCTCCGTCTCGCCCGACATCCGCGTGCAGGTGGACGGCAGCATCGGCCGCTCGCCCACCGACGAGATCGCCGGCGTGGTTCCCTCGGCGAGCCCGCAGGGGCAGGAGCGCGGGCTGCAGGGGGCGGGGGAGAAACCCGACTCCCAGAACTCATCGGGAGGACCCCCCAGGTCTTCGGCCCCCGCCGGACCCGGCAGCCCTGGCGAAGATCAGAGGCCTCCGCCGGCGCGGGCAGCATCCGTCCCGTCTGCCCCCGCCCCCCGGCCAGGGCCGCCGGAGGAGGAAGAGCCGGAAGTGAATGAGCTGACGAAATTGAAAGTGGCAGAGAGCCTATGATGCAGCTCTTGTGGATCCGAGCGAAGCCTCGGAGAAGCTCCCGAGAGGTTTTACTGCCGTCCTCTCCCGAGACCGCATGGAAGCGATGGACGCTATCATAATCAGTGTGGGCTTTGTATCTTTTACCTTTTTTTTTTTCGGCTTACATTTTCACGAAAGGGGGAGGATAGGGACGCTGTGTGGATCGCAGTCAGTGAGGAAAGTTTGGATGGGGAGGGGAGGTGGGCCGGCGAGGGCTTCAGTTTGCCCAGCCGGCCCTAGCCCTTCACCTTATTGTCTCTTTGAATTGTAATGCCACTTTGTTTTGTTTTCCTTCATTTTTTTTTGGGTTTGTTTCTTTTGATGAAGTGCCTTCAGGAAAAAAAAAATACAGAACAACTTTTCAGAAAACGGAGGTAGGAAAAAAAGCATTGAAATGAAGGCCGGGTTGGGGGGGGGGGGGGGGGGGGTGAAGGGGGGAAAAAACTCCCAGCACGGCTTTTACATCGTAGACAACAGAGGAGGCTGGGGTTATTCTTTTGTCGCGAAGACCACGTTTGGCGTATGCGGTTGTATTTAATTTAGCATATTGTTTTGAGCCCCGTCGAGAGGCGTCTGTGAGACGACAGCCAATGTACAGAAAAGTGCGGACTGCAGTGGATCGGTGCCGGCAGGGCGTCGGGGGGGAGAGGAGCCAATTCTGGGATGAGCAGCCGGGGGTGGGGGGTTTCTCTGCGTTGAAGCGCTGTGTTCTATATCCGCAGTGTGGGCCCAGTCAGGCCTGGAACTTCGTTTCCTGCTCATACTGCCCTCAGAATTCACATCTTTCCCGTTTGTCAAAGCATTTATAAAAAGCCAAAAACGGTTTCTCTGCGGGTACGGCCGTTTCACGCATGTCCTTGGTCACGTCTCGTTTGTTCTGTAAAGCAGAAGTTTGCTCACAGCCAGGTATGTTGACATACCATCTTCTGCGCTGAAGCTCCCCATGCCAAAACGAGAAATCAGTGCGCCTTGGGTAACCGTGGAGTGACTCATCGTTGCGATTCTTAATTACAAGGTGTGCGGCTAATGACCGGATGATGTGAGTGTTGCAATGAGACTCCTGGTCAAACCAGTTCCCATCCGCAGGTTTGCAGGGTCACGGGGAGCTGCAGATAGTTTGTGGACACAGGCGTTCGCCGGTATTGTAGGTGTACAGTGGCGCTTCAACCTGTCCTCACAGTGCTGCTCTCTGACATCTGTGGTGTCGCCGTGGCGCAGCTCTTGTCCCGTTAAAGGTGGAGCCAATCTGTAGACTATTTGGATATTTGTTGGCTGTATCATGTGTTTTATCACAAGAAAAGAATCTGCTCCAAGCAGCTGAGTTAATCCCATAGTCAGCAGCTTTTCTGTTTGTTTTTGTTGTTTTTTTTTTGTCCTCTGGAGGCTGTTTCTAAAGCAAGCGAAAAGCTCAGCTCTGCATCAGAAAGGACATGAATGGCACAGCATTAATTACACCAGGAACAGTCATATAAGATGTGCAAAGGTTCTTAGGTCTTTGAGAACGCACTAACTTTACGCCCTAACTGGTCATCCAACATTATGGCAATCTTTCAGTGTGTCATGTTGTGAAAAGCCAATCCTAATTCACTTTCGTACAGTAGTACTCTGCTGGTAGGCGGAGCGGTGTGGAAGAGGCATGCATGTGCTGTTCTTGGTTCTGCCTGCTGGATGCTGTCTGAGTGCATTGGCACTGGAGACAGTCTCCTGGCCTTAACATGATACCGAAGGGATAGCAGCTGCTGGGAGGACGTCTGCAGTTTCAGTGGACGTCCAGGTTTTCAGGTTAACGAGGAGGGGTGTCTTGAAGTCGAATGTCTTGTTTTCTGGTCAGCAAGTTGAGTTTACAGAAGAGATTGTGTCAAGGGAGGGTAAGATGCTCTGTAGCTCTCGCTGACGGCGAAGGTCCCTAGAGATCTGTCCTGGGAGGTTTTATCAGCATCGGTGTAACTAGAGGGAGTGCTGGGAGGAAACGGCTGTCACTACCGACATCTAGTCAGGAAGACGGCACCGAGAAGCTTTTTTCCCCAAGTGCAGCTCCTGTCAAATGGTTATCAAGCTGCACTGGGAATCCGAAAGTCAGTACCCTTTTCCCATTTTAGTAAGAGGTTTCCCGACTTGGTATAAGGTACAGGTGGGAAAGAAGCAGCCCAGGTGGGATGTAGCTGGTATTATCAATACATTAAACCGTTTGTAAAAGCGAAGATGCATATTACATAAAAGCAATACAGAGCTGGGACAACACAAAGGCAGTGTGGCTAATAGAGGCCGAAAGGCTCAGGATATAGTTTGATTTAAGACATTTAAACTGTGTTCCAGTTGCAGGTTGAGATCTGGCAGCAAGTGAATCGATATCGCGTGAGGTCACATGTGAACATCAAGTGTTCCAGCTGCTGTCCAGCCCCTTAACAAAGCAATACTTAACTGTTCAGAATATAAAGGATCTTTGCTGGAGCTTGTGGCTGGATTCCTTCTAAAAACGCAATTTTCTAGTCAGATGAAAGAGGTTTCTATTGTGTTCATTTACATAAGTGCCACTTTAGTCACTGGGTGCAGTGCTACCCACTGCAGGTTTTAGTATCTTACTGTTGTTGTGATTGTTTTAAATACTTCCTTGTGTCTCCGGACTGCACCAGCGTGCGGGTTACTTCATCTGTATGAAGTCAAACAGACGACAGCCAAGATCTTTTACAGGAGTGATTTGTAAAAGGGGGTTGCGTGCCACATTTCACATCCAGTCCAATTTTGCTCTGCATTTGATTTAGGATTTTTACCATTGCGTACTTTAAGTATTGACTTATTGTCATACTCTCTTTCAGGAGTGCTTCTGAACTTATTTTGTTGAAAGTTTGTCGGATGCTATTTTTTTCTTCTGCTTTTCCCATTCTCGTGACCTCAAGGCTGGTTCTCTGGCTGACAGTTCGAACCCATGTAGCGATAGAGCTTTAAAGATCTGTTTGGCCGCGCTCCCTGGAATGTTTTCAAATCAAAGCTTCTTACTAGAGAGTGCGATGAGTCTTACAGCCTGGGGTTTGCAGGTTCCAATCCACGGTGTACGGTCTCCATTCCGTCTGCAGTGGCAGTACGTAATTAGCAAAATCCCGCAAGCACCAGCTGAAAGTGGGGTCTTTCAGGCAACCACTGTTTTTGAAAACACCACCCCTTTCAAAGTGTGGGTGTGAAGGTTCGATGAGTAGACCTCAGCGTGTAGTGTTAAGTGAATGGGAACAACAGTTATTTCAGGTACTAGAGATCTCTCGGCATTTAACTGAAAAAAAGGCCACTTTTTACATCAAAACAGTGGAAAAGGTAGATGTGATGGCATTTCTATGTGAAAACCTCATCTAAGCTGCTTGTCAATGCATGTTTGCACTGCCCCATGGTTTATTAGATACAGCATATGCATTGGCATGTCTTCCTTTCACCAAGGCAGCAATGCAACTGGGTCGAATGTGTGTCTCGCCTCATGACTGCACTGAAGAGAGGCCGAGAAACATCATGTGAATATTGATCAGATTGATTTCGTAGTCGTACACATGCTTCCCGGCTAACACGGCTTTCCTATTGGAAGGACAGTACAGTGGGCAGCTAGTACAGCTTGGGAAATGTCGTCACCAGTGTCCGTGGCACATTTTAAAAGATGGCTGTCTTCAGCAGTGCCAAGATATAAGTGAGTCTAGGGATTACGGTGCAGTAACAATTGATGGCTATTACCGTCTCCCCAAGGACTGTTCATGAACACATTTAACACCAGGTGATTTTGCTTTACTGCTCCCCTTTGCACTGTTGACGATACCTTCTGCCTCATGCTGCATGCGCTACGTCATGGTTTTAACTAGACAGTCCTAGCCACCTCCTAATTCACTGCATGAGTAATAATGGAAGAGCATTCTCAATGGGAGTTGAATAAAGTGGGTGACAACGGCCACTTGCTCCTCCGTTAGG